TTTGTGACTGGGATATTTCACTCAGCATAATGTTCTCCAGAGTCAACCATTTTGAATAATATTGCATGAGTTCCTTATTTTTTAATGCAGCATAGTATTCCATTGTGCGAATATACCACAGCTTCTCTAGCCATTCGTTTGTTGATGGGAGCTAAACATTCTTACTTCAACAGTCTCTGCAAGTGCAGTTCAGGGACGCTGGCTACGTTCTTAGACCTTCCTCAGACCTTCCTCACCTCCTTTTCCAAACTGTTCTCTCCTTGGTGGTCCCCTGGCTGCCTCTGGGCATGACATCCTGACCTGGGTGTGAAAGGCAAATGCTGCTGGCAGTGGTGTCCCCACAGCTGTCTGTGGGCTGGGTCAGCAGCTCAGGCAGGTCAGAGAGTGAGGGCCAGCGTCTGCTCCGTCCTGTCCCCTGGCCATCAGCCTCTAGACCGAGGAGAGGGTGACCTGCCTGTCCGAGCTTTGGCCTCAGCCCTGTTGCCAGCCTGGGGGCGTCAGGGAGACGGGCACTGAGGGGAGAACAGAGGAGCAGGCCTCCTGGGCACCCGCCTTGGCAGGAGGCTCTGTGGGTCACAGCCCTGCTCTGTCAGGTTGCAGAGGGCCCCGAGCAGGCTGCCACCCTCCTCCTTCTCTTCCAGGACCCCAGGAAGGGGTGGCAGTGCAGGTGTCTGCTGTGTGCCTTGGGAAGGCTCTGCCTCTCTGGTCCTGTGGTCATCTTTCCTCAAGGAGGGGCTGGTTCATGCGGGAGGCCTGGCAGTAGCAGGGGTACTTGTTTGCTTCCTCTACCCTCCTCCTCCTCCTCCTCAGTGGGTGGCTTCAGGTTAGCCGCCTGGCCTGTGGTGAACGTGAAATCGTCCAGCACGTGCTTGTCTCTGGGCCTCTATTTTATTTTTTTTTAAGTAAAAAAGATTTATTTAGGCAATAAGACAGAGGCATAGGGCACACGAAAGAATTAGGGAGAAGGGCCCTGGAAAAAAAAAAGGAAAGGGGTGAAGCCAAGGCTTACAGCATGCTGTCAGCAAAACAGGACAGGAAAGAGCTCTGGCAATGACTTTGTGAATTATTACCTAACTTGGGAGGGACTGGAGAGCATCCTGCTGAATGAACTAACTCTGTCCCACAAGGATAAATATTGTATAAGACCGTTACTGTAGAGTAAGAATCCAGGAGGGGTGGGAGAGGCTGGAAGCAGAGGGATATGGATGTAGAGGGGAGGGAGGGGATTAATCATTTTGTTGTACAATTTGATGGGGGGTGGGAATTGAAAGAATTTGTTCAAATTTGTATTAGAATTTTGTAAATAAACTAGTGAAAACAAAACAACCAAAAAAAAGCCTAGTTGGAAGAAAATATATATAAAAATCTCTGAGCTTCAAGTTCGAGTAGCCTTGAGTAGTGGCAAGCCTGCATCTGAGGCAGAACTTTTTGGAACTTTAACTCTGTACAACCTTCCAGAAGGATTGGTAGAGTGGGGAGAACACCAGGACCCACCAGGATACAAGACTTGCCTGCATTAATAACTGCTTGTGCCTTGGTTTCCCCATCACTTAAATAGCATCGAGCCCGTCCAGTTGACTGTGCTACTGGATCCTTGACGGGTCCAGTTCCCATGCCCCCCCTAACCGCGGCCTCTCTCCTCTCTCCACAGGCTCCCCCCTGCACAAGCAGGGGTCCGGCCCCTCCTCTACCCCCTCCTCTGAGAAGCTGGGCCCCAAGGCGGCCGAGGTGGGCGATGACTTCCTGGGAGACTTCGTGGTGGGCGAGCGGGTGTGGGTGAACGGCGTGAAGCCCGGTGTGGTACAGTACCTGGGCGAGACGCAGTTCGCACCCGGCCAGTGGGCAGGCGTGGTGCTGGACGACCCAGTGGGCAAGAATGACGGCTCGGTGGGCGGCGTGCGCTACTTCGAGTGCCCGGCACTGCAGGGCATCTTCACGCGGCCCTCCAAGCTGACCCGGCAGCCCACGGCCGAGGGCTCGGGCAGCGATGCCCACTCGGTGGAGTCGCTGACCGCGCAGAACCTGTCCCTGCACTCGGGCACGGCCACCCCTCCGCTGACCAGCCGCGTCATTCCCCTGCGGGAAAGTGTCCTCAACAGCTCGGTCAAGACGGGCAACGAGTCGGGCTCCAACCTGTCAGACAGCGGCTCCGTGAAGCGGGGGGACAAGGACCTTCGCCTGGGCGACCGAGTGCTGGTGAGTGTGGGGGTGCTGGGCTCAGCTGGCCTCTGTGCCCTGTCTCTCCGTGCCACATGAACATCCTGGACCATGAAGGCCAGGTCCAGGCTGGTGGGTGGAGACGTGGACAGTGTCCAGGCTGAGGGCACACTCTTCATCCGTAACTAGAGTGAAAACGGGCTCTGGAAACATGCTGCGTGACCTTGGGCAAGTTACTTAACCTTTCTGGGCTTCAGTCTTCCTGTCTTTCAAATGGGAATTGTGATGGTACCTCCCACATGCACTTGGAAGCTTTTCTGGGTGTTGCAAACACTTAACTACCAGCTGCTAAAGGAAATGTTGGTGAATCAGAAACACCTCAAAATAAAATCTTTGATAACCAGTCCCCCACTGACATGCATGGGGTCACCAGGAGTCAGAACACGCTCTGTACCCACGAGCTGGCAGGTTGAAATGTGCCCATAAATCCCTGTGGTGCATTCACACTGTGACTGCTGGTTGTTAAGTCCTAGTGATTGTTGATATTGGTCATTGATCCAGTTCTCAAAGCCTGAACTGGACCAGAGCTCAGGGGATCCCAGGTCTAGGGTGGGGCGTAAGACACATATCAGGCATAACAGGGGTGATCAGTGTTGCTATAGAGGAGAGAATCAGGGTTACCCTCTTTCTTGGTGCTCCTGGCCGTCGGGGCCAGGCTGGACATGGGGAGCAGTCTCCAAGTTCTTCAGAGTCTGGATTCTTCCTTCTGGATTCTAACCAAGGTCATATTTTCCTTATCTCCTGCCATGGGCCAGACCTGGATTAGGGGTGCTGGGGGCGGGGAGGATTGCACTGTGTCCTGCTGCACCAAGCCCAGGTCATACAGGGACCTGAGCATTGGACAAGGGAGGCGTGGACACGGGACATCTCTGGAGGGGATCTGAGGAGCCTGGAGTATGACAGGCCAAGGCCATGAGGTCAGTCGCTGGAGAGGGAGGTCCAGACAGGAAGGCTTTCTGGGGTCAGAAGCAGGAGAAGCCCACCTCCAGCTGGGCTTTACAGGCAGGGGGTGCATACCTGGAGTCTCAGGTTGAATGGGGTGCTGGGGACAGACACAGAGTTTCTCCTGGAGGATTCTGGGAAGAGCATGTGAGGAGTGAGATTAACAGTTTACACCTATTGTGCCTCAGACCCACTGTGTGATGTCATTTTATCATGCCCACTTTATGGATGGAGAAACTGAGGCCCAGGAAGATCGAACTAGTCTCCATGCTGCCTTCCAGCCACTAGGGTGGCCTCTGAGCTTCTGTCTAGCAGAGTGAGGCCCTCACCCACCGCTGAGTCGGCTTTTCCCTTGTGGGGACCTGGCGGGTGATGACAGGCACACCAGACTCAGTCCCTGCCCTTGGGAAGTGTCTAGTCCTGTGGAGGAGAGCAGTGACCAGAGGCTTCTGAGGAATTCTGGAGAAGCTTGGTGCAGGCCTTGAGGGCATGTCCTGTTGCCCAGCCCCGAGAAGGGCACCCCTGTGGAGTCGGGGTTGGCACCGAGACTGCAGGAGGTCACCGAGGCTGGATGTGAGCGGGCTCACATTTGAGACATGCCGTGCTTGCTGCCCCGCGGGACACGACCAGACCAGCAGAGGAGGGGCAGGCAGATGCCTTCCTGTGACCGGGTGAGGTAGGAGGTAGAGGTGGGACTCGTTTTGAAGCTGTCCCTTAGCTATTCCTACATGCACTGCATGGATTTATTAACACACTCAACCCGCCGGCCAGCCGCTGTGAGTGGGTTCTGACTTCGGACAACCCCATGCGTGTCAGCACGGGAGAACTTCCCCACAGCGTCTCCGATGGCTGGTTTTCCAAGAGTGGGTTTACCAGGCCTCTCTTGAGGTAGCACTAGTCCACCAGCGCACCAGAGTGCAACCACAGCTGTGGGTCGGTTCCGACTCAGCGGTACACAACAACAACAACTAGGTAAACATGGAGTTGATTCAGCTCCTTCAGCTCTTCTACAGGAGACAGATGAGCAGTCTTCTCCTGGGCGATTTACTGTCTCTGAAAACCTGCCGGAGGCCCAGCTGTGGATTGGTTCTGACTCGACAATGCGTAACAACAGCCACAGCTCTTCTGAGATCAAGGCCCATCAGCAGGACCCAGGAGCCTGGCGTAAAGCTTCTGAGCTGTGGTCTAGGAAGCCTGGACCCATGAGCGAGTGTCTACCGGCCGTGACATTGTAGGGGAACCAGGCCCAGACCATCTGCCTGGAATGCCCTGTGCACTTGAACTCCTTCAGGCAATGGGGACCTCTGCCAGTTCGCGGGGTCCAGTGCCTACAAACTGGCCCTTCTCGGTAGGGGAACCAAAGCTGGCTCAGGGTGGACACTGCTGGCTTGACCCCAGCCTGTCAGTAGGGCACCCCATCCTGCTTCCTGGGGGCTCAGTGCACACTGCCAAGCTGTAGAAAGAGCAGCTGTAATGTGGGGGTGGACGAGTCTGACTTCTACCTGCTTCATAAAGGGGAATTTCCCCATCAGTAACATCCGTGTTGTTGTTGTTGTTACGTGCCGTTGAGTTGCTTGCGATTCGTAGCGACCCTATGTACAGTAGCCCTGAAACCTGCTCTAGCGTATATTGACTTTATTGTCTCTGACACACCTACCCTCATTACCCCATTTACTGAATCAGTCCATCTCATCGAGGGTCTTCCTCTCCTGTGCTGTCTCTCCACCCTCTCAAGCATGACATCCTTCTCCAAGGACCGGTCCCTCCTTGCAACATGTCCAAAGTGTGTCAGCTGAAGCCTCAGAATCCTTGCCTCCAAGGAGAAGCTTGGTTTCACTCTGTCCAGGGTGAACCCATTTTTTCTCAAAGCCTCATACAAATAGCTGCAAGGTCAGACATGCCTCCCCACGTGCTCCTGCATCGATTTCTACCAATCGTTGGACCCAGTGTTTTGCTGCAAGGCTCACAAGCTTTACTCACAAAAATCCTTAATTAGTGAAAGACAGCTTCTCAGTCAACCAGGAAAAAAAAAAGTCTTAAATTCAGTTCAGCATAAATTCAGGAAGCCTGTGCTTTTCTAGTCATCCATCAGACTTTATCTCAGAACAGTTGTAAGTCCTCTTTTCCTTCAGTCATCCAGCGAGCAAGGCCTTTAACTGCCTTTATCTCTAGGATTCCTCTGGTTACACCTTACCACAGTCTCTTCACAGCAGTGCCATGGTCTCTTCTACACTGTCCACCAGCATCTCCCACAGTCTCTTCACAGCCCCTCCACCATCACCTCTCACTGGGTGGAAAGTGTTCTTTTACATTGGTCTCACACTTGATGATTTGCAGGCGCGTGTGTCTACAGTTAAAGTAGCTGGAGATCACGCCCCCTCAGTGGGTGGGAGAGACTGGGCTGTAAGGCCTGGAACTGTGGGAGGAGATGAGAGCGCTCTTAGTGGCCAGGACTTGCCCGAAGCATCCTGCTGACATGGCTGCCATCGGCCGCCTCAGGGCCCGTCTTCCCGGGTATGAGAGAGCCTGGCCGGAGGCAGAGGCGTTCATTGTGAGTGAGTCACCAGTTGTGAGCTTCTTGGAGGAAAGTCCCTGAGAGACAAATGGACCAAACCAAGCATGAAGCCGTTGCTTTGTGAGAACCCGGGAGGTAGACAGTGATGGCTGGGTTAGGAGGAGCTCCAGCCCCCACAGGGAGAGGGGACAGGCTCAGCACTGGTGAACTTGGCCTCACACACAGCTGGGGGTGGTGACAGTCAGGGCTGCAGGAGGTGGGTCCCCAGAGATTGTGCAGGAGGATTGGTTCAGAAAATCACTAGACTTCCTCTTCCTTTCCCTGCTTCCTGCTGTCTAGTGAGAGCAGAAATCCGAGACAGATCCTTCCCCCGAGAGGGACGGTGTGTAGATGAGGGCGCCAAGGCCGGGTGGACTCAGTGAACATGTCCATCCTGGGGGCTGAGTCCCTCCCTACCAGCGTCCTCTTCCCTCAGCTTGCAGGGTCCCAGCCCATGCCTGCCATCCTTGCTAGATAGAGCTCAGAGGGTCAGTCGGGCTCAGAGAGGTCAAGTCACCTGCCCAAGCTCACACAGCATCTCAGAGGCAGAGCCAGAGGGTTTGCATGCAGACCTGTGTGAATTCAGAGCCTGGAGTCTTATCGTGGGACAGCCCGTGATTGTAGCCATGTCCCTCCCTGCTGTCCCTCGGGCCTCCCTCATGCTGTCTCTGCCCACGCTAGCATCCTCGGGAACTGAGTCTATTATTATTACGATGATGATGATGATTATTATTGTGTGTGTGTGTGTGTGTGTGTGTGTGTACTGTCAAATTGGTTCTGACTGGTACAGAAGGATACTGCCCCCCTTCTCCAGCAGGGTATCTGGTGGATTCGAACTGCGTACCTCTGGGATTGCGGTGCAGCTTCTTGCCGCTAGGCCACCAGAGCTCCCTTGGAACTGAGTCTTTTTCTCCATGCAACAACAGGTTGGTGGGACGAAGACCGGTGTGGTGCGGTACGTGGGGGAGACAGACTTTGCCAAAGGCGAGTGGTGCGGCGTCGAGCTGGACGAGCCCCTCGGCAAGAATGATGGAGCCGTGGCGGGCACCAGGTACGGCGGGCTTCCCCGGGGAGGAGGGCCGTGGCGGGCTTCCCCGGGGAGAGGGTGTGGTGGGCACCAGGTACGGTGTGCTTCCCCGGGGAGGAGGGCCGTGGCGGGCACCAGGTACGGTGGGCTTCCCCGGGGAGGAGGGCTGTGGCGGGCACCAGGTACGGCGGGCTTCCCCGGGGAGGAGGGCTGTGGCGGGCACAGGGTATGGTGGGCTTCACCGGGGAGGGGGCGTGGTGGGCACCGGGTACGGTGGGCTTCCCCGGGGAGGGGGTGTGACGGGGCCTCTGCAGAAGGGCGTGTTAAGATTTAGGGTGTCTGTGCCAGATGCTGTGATAGTGAGGCTCCCTCCCTTCTCTCAGAGCAGCCCACCATGAGAGTGGTGTGTTTATCACCCCATTTTACAGATGAGAGAACAGAGGCCATTGCTTCAGGTCACTCATAAAGTCACAGTAAACTCTTGGAAGGATCCAGCCTCCTGAGTTCCCTTCGATGCACCAGGCCTGACTGAGCTGGGGCGGGGGCACTTGGATCGGGGGAGGCTGTGGTCCTTGCCCGCGAGCCTTCCCCTGGGGAGCTCGGGAGGTACCGAGATCTGTCCAGCGCTGTGTACCTGCACTTTTCCCAGGAATCACGATGGGAAGGAAGGGACGGCAGGGCTGTGACTGGTCTCAGAACCAGGGATGATATGATTGGTGGACAGTGTGGCGCTAAGGTGCCGGCTGAGTGCTATGTGGCTGGCTCTGGGCTGGACGCCGGGGCACAGATGCGGCCCTGGCAGCTCCGAGCAGCCTTCACTGCAGGACAGTGAGCGGTCAGCAGACGAGCCAGACTTCGAGTCAGGCGTACTTCTGGGAAAGGAGTGGGCCCTCAGGGCCACCAGGGCGGAGAGACCTGGAGGTGGGAGGAGGCAGGGATGGGGCACCTTCATAGGGAGTCAGAAATCACACATGAGTTAGAATCCTTGACCCCTGAGGTTTTCGAAAAAGAAAACTGTTTCATGACAATGTAACACTTTTCCACAGTGATGGTTCTTAGCTCACTCTTCGTTTCAGATTAAAGGACAGGTGGCAGCATTCACCCCGGCCCCCAGAATGTCACTTTTGGGCTTTTGCTTCCCCATGGCCAGAAAGCTGACGGGACCCCTGGGTCCGGAGGTGGCACAAGGACAGTTGAGCGTGGGCCGCAGATATGGCTGGGGCGGGTCTGGGCCAACCAGCCGAGCGTAGCGGACAGCGGTTCAGCCCACCTTTGCCACTTAACCAGCTGAGGTAGACAAGCTTCCCCAACCTCTCTGACTTTCTGAGCCTCGGTGGCCTAGATAGTAAGTAAGGGGTTGTACTGCCAGCCGATAGGTGAGCAGTTTGAATCCACAAGCTTCTCCGAAGGAGAGAGGTGGGCAGTCTCCTCCCGTGTGATCCTACAGCCTCTGAAAACTCCCTAGAGGCTCAGCTGCGAGAGGGTGCAGTCTTGACAGCAGTGAGTTTGGGGGTTTTAGGCTGTTTTTAGTGATGCACAGACAGCAGGAGATGCTTGGAGGATGGGGACAAGTGTTCATGGACGGGAACCAGGCAGGTGCTGGGTCACCACTGTTCTCCCGGCTGACTCTCCAGTCACTCACTCTCTGGCAGTGACCCCCTGCCTGTCAGAGGAGCTCACCTTGGGGTGCAGGTAATGGGGACCCCAGGCCGTGAGGCCATGTCAACAGTGTGGGTCTCGCCCGCTTCCCCAGGTACTTCCAGTGTCCACCCAAGTTTGGTCTCTTCGCCCCCATCCACAAGGTCATCCGCATCGGCTTCCCGTCCACCAGCCCCGCCAAAGCCAAGAAGACCAAGCGAATGGCCATGGGGGTGTCGGCGCTCACCCACAGTCCCAGCAGCTCCTCCATCAGCTCCGTCAGCTCCGTGGCCTCCTCTGTGGGGGGCCGGCCGAGCCGCAGCGGTCTGGTGAGAGTAGGGCGGGGGGGGGGTACCCCAGTAAGGGGGGTGGGAACTGCAGGATCCCCAGTCTGCCTCCGACTTACTTTCATTCCAGACATCTGTTGAATTTAGGGGGTTTGAAGACGCATGTTCATCTTTTTTTATGAGGGGAAGATTAAACCATACATATTTATTATGGTTTTTAGTAATAACTTATTGTAACCTAAGGATCTCTGGGGGCACTGTGGCTAAAGCATTAAGACGGTCACCAGAAGGCAGTTCTGACCCACCAGCTGCTTCTCGGTTGAAAGATGAGACAGTTTGCTTCCGTAAAGATTCAAGTCTGGCAAACGCCGGGCGCCAGTTGTGCTCTGTGCCGTAAGGTTGCCGTGAGCCTGAATCAGCTCGATGGCAGCGAGTTGAAGTCCTTCTCTGGAGTTGAGAAGGGTCAGGAGGGGGGACACAGGCAGGGCTGTGGGCCCAGAAGGCTGGGTAGAGGGGGTGGGGACGGTGAGTCTGCTCTGCAGGTGTGGCAGGGGCCTTTGCCTCCAGCTCCATCCCAAGGTGATGGTTGGTACCATTGCATTGACTACGACTGGAAGCAGCTCGTGGCCTGAATCTTGCCCTGTCCTGTGCCGTCCTCAGCATCTCGGTTATACTTGAGCCCATTGTGACAGTCACTGTGTCAATAACCCATTTTATTAGGGTCCTGGGTGGGAGAAAGAAAGCCCCAGGGCCTCGTGACGCCCCTGGGCTGAGTCCTCCCAGGCTGAGTCCCCCCCGGATCTCCCCTGCAGCTCACGGAGACCTCTTCACGCTACGCCCGCAAGATCTCAGGCACCACAGCCTTGCAAGAGGCGCTGAAGGAGAAGCAGCAGCACATCGAGCAGCTGCTGGCCGAGCGGGACCTGGAACGGGCCGAGGTGGCCAAGGCCACGAGCCACATCTGCGAGGTGGAGAAGGAGATCGCCCTGCTTAAGGCACAGCACGAGCAGGTGGGTGGGCCGGCGGCCGTGATGACCAAGCCACTGAGCCTCCGCGGGCTGGGCCTGCCCCGTCACACACCGGGGCCCGCAGGACCGAGAACTGGGCTGTCACACCAAGTGCTAAAGCGTAAATGACCTGCAGCATCCCTGGGTGGTGCTCACAGCTAGCTGAAAGGCGGAAGAAAGGCCTGGTGATCTGCTTGTACAAAAGCAGCCCTTGGAAACCGTATGGGGCATGATTGTACTTGTTGCACCTGCTCCCGAGCCAGAGTCAACCGTGGCAGCAGGTCTTGTGGTTAAATTCCCAGCACCCGTCCGTGCTCTTCCTGTGATAACCCTTCGTCACGTGGTGCAGCTGCTTTTCCTGTTTGTGGGTGAGCATAGATGCTTTTGCCCTTGGATACACACTTGGATGCCCTGCCTTGTTCACACCTGGTAGTGATGCCCTGCCTTGTTCACACCTGGTAGCATGTGAGCGTTTCCAGGGAGAGCCCTTCGCCATTTCACCGGCTGCATTGCTGGTGTCCTAACAGCTTCACCACGACTGAGTCCTCACTGCCAAGCCCTGTTGTTCAGCTTCTCCCCAGTGTCTCATATTTTTTAAAATAACAGTGTTATGTACTGTTTGGCGGAGCATGTTTTGTGGAGAACTGTCCTCATTTCATAGCCCCTGAGTGGTACAAATGGCTAGGTACTAAGCTGTTAACCTAAAGGTTGGAGGTTCAGATCCACCCAGAAGCGCCTTGGAAGAAAGGCCTGGCAGTCTGTTTCTGAAAACTCAGCCATTGCACAGTTCTGTTCTGCATACGAGGTCACCATGAGTTAGAGCTTCTCAGCAGTAACTAGGGGTGGGGGTGTGTGTGTGAGAGAGAGCGAGAGAATGTTTTATGCTTTTGAGCAGATTCCTGGGTTGGATTCAGGGGAGCAAAGGCAAGAACTTCTCAGATCTGCTGCTGTCACGTGCCTGCACATCCCCTGATGTTTGTGTCCCCACATCAGAGCCTCCTTTTGAGTCCTGTCTCTATTTGGGGCTCCTGCCTGCCTTGGTACCAGAATGATACCATGCACACGCTCACCTGCACATCAGACACGCTCACCTGTGTGACCTAACAGGAGTCTTCATAGACTCCAGGTGGATTGAAAGGAGGGTGGCTGTAAGGTTTGGGCACAGGTGGACTCACTTTCTACTATCCTTGGGGCTTGGTTGGGTGCCCCCCCCATATCCAGACCCTATGATGGACCGGCCAAGGAGCAGGAGTGTCTGAGCTTCCGGGCCCCGCTCCTTGCACCCACCCTCACCTCTCCCCATCACCTCTGGCCCCAGGAGGAGGCTGACTCTGTCCCGGCCCTCGCTCGGGGGCCCAGTATGTTGCAGAAGCCGAGGAGAAGCTGCAGCGGGCACGGCTGCTCGTGGAGAGCGCGCGGAAGGAGAAGGTGGACCTGTCCAACCAGCTGGAGGAGGAGAGGAGGTGGGTACAGCCCGCCAGGTGAGGGAGCATACGGGCCTGGAGACACCAGCCCCTGAGCTAAAACCTTTGTCCCCTCTCTGAGTCTGCAGTCAGCCTCTTGGGCAGGTATGAGTGTCAGGTGAGAAAGCTGAATTAGAAAAGGGACTGCCGCGGCCACAGCCCCACCTCAGTGATGACGGTGCACTGCGGCTTCATCTCTGTCTTAGCGGCTGTTCCAGAGATGCAGGGGCCCCACCAGCACGAGGAACAAGAGGGTCTCAGTGCAACCCACTTGGAGACGCAAGGATGACCCACAGCCTCGCCTGCCTCGCACAGGGTCAGCAGGTGCCCCTCAGGGGGGACTTGGTGGTCAGCATGGCCAAGACTTCTCTTGGTTCAGAATCCTCTCTCTCATCGTTCATCTCTTAAACGATAACGCAGGTTTCTGCCTCTCCCTCCTTCCCTCCCCGATACAGCAGATCCCCCTGCCCGCCCACAGCCCCCCACATGAATCTATTTGCTGGGCTCTCAGCCGAGACATGTGCTCCCCCAGCTGTTGTTACTGTCTGATTCGGGGAGATGAGGGTTTATTTATGCCCGCCTGAGATGGTCTTAGCGCCCACACATCTGGTTCCCATGGTGACACACGCCTGATGCCGACCAACAAAAAACAGACCTTGGAGACACCATTGTTGCATTTGGAGAGGTCCTGGATGCAAATCTGAGCCTTGCCATTCACATGCTGTGTGAATTCAGGCTGGTTACTTGCCTTCTCTGGGCCTCAGTTTTCTCATCTGTATGTTGGGAGCTATCAGGAGGCCCCAGCAAAAGCAGCTTGGTGGACTGGGATCCCTGCATGGCCGGCCCCACGCCTGTGTGTGCAAGGGTGTCTTCCTGAGGGAACCCCTCCTGCAGCAGAGCTTTGGGGACCCCCTTATGATGAGCTGACAGGGAGTAAGGATTCAGAGCTTGTGGGTTACTGTGAGGTCAGAGAGGCCCTTCTGCATCCCTCCTTCCTTGTCGCATTCCTCCATCCTCCCACCCTTTTCCCTCCCCCCCCAAGGTTATTCCACGTGGCAGCGTCTGTTCCCTGCAGTGAGGAAAGCTCAGCATTAACTTCACCGTGTTTCCTTTTATAAAGTTGTTTATTCCCCACCACAAGCCTGTTACATCCAACAAGCGTGTTCAAGAAGCCATGTGCGTGGAGTACAAGGCAGAGGAAGTTGAGGGGCCTGGCAGTTTCCAGAAGCCTCTGCCCCCACCAGCCCGAGGACTCTGAGCAGGTCCCGGCTCTGCTGGCCCTTCCCCTCTGCATGGCCAGGAGCGTGGACTCTGGCCGTGTGACCGGCTTGCCTCTCTGCCATCAGTGATGACTCGGTGAAGCCACTGCTCCGCGCCAGCTCTCGTCAGCTCCCTCTTTCCCCCCCTGCAGGAAGGTGGAGGACCTGCAGTTCCGAGTGGAGGAGGAGTCCATCACCAAAGGAGACCTGGAGGTAACGTCAGAGTCCCTTCCCCACAGACTCGCACAGAACTCCAGGCCCAGCCGGCCCTTACGCCGTGGATTCCGGGCGGCAGTGCCGTGCCCCTGGGCAAAGACAAGGAGAAATGGAAAGAGCCCAGGGTCACACCCTGGGAGGGAGAGGAGGCCAGTCGGGGTGATTCAGAGTCTCTGTGAAGAGACTCGGGTATCAGAAGAGGGATTGATGGAGCCCCAGGAGCCCGAGATGGTCCACTGCTCCTCGTTGACAGGAGTGGGGTGGCAGCAAAAATTCAGGGCTGGCTACAGGGACCTGATTTCCCTCCTCCTCTTTGTTGGAAATTAGACCTAAAGGTATCAATTGGGCTATTCATTTGTTGTGGGTTCCTGGAAACATTTTGATTAGAAGTAACATGTTGAGCCACAGAATTTCTGGATGGGGAAACAGGAAAAGGAACGTAACTATGTGTCACAGTAAGCGGTAGGACTGGAACCAGGACCCAGGGCTCCTGACCTCAGACCGTAGCTCCTGAGGTGGTCACTGTCACCTCGCTCCTCAGTCCTAACCCTGGGCAGGTTGGTCTGGATGAGGTTGGACTTTTCACTCCCAATGTAACACGGTCTTTCTGAGCTGGGGGTACTGAGACCAATTATAAAAGCCCTTAAATACCCCGCCCTCAGTCCTCGCCAGCTGTGCAGAGACCTTGGGGTTCATAGGCCACATTGGGGTGGGCAGGGTGCCTTCCTGTGTGGCCCTCTGTGCTTGCTCAGAGCAGAGCATGGGTATGGACTGCTGGGGACGTAGGAGGGACAGTGAAGTAGTCCCTCCCACACGCCGGTCCTGGCCCACACTAGTCTTGGACAGCCTCTTCCCCAGCTTAGGCCTCAGTTTCCTCATCTGTAAAATGGGCACGCAGAACTCAGAGTGGTTCTCAAACTTGAGCATTCATTAGCCATTAGCCCCCTCTGGAAGGTTACTGAGCCCCACCCTTGGGAAGCAGCTCGAGCGGGGCCTGGGAATGTGTATTCCTCCCTTGCTCCTGGGTGATCCTAATGGCCTCGGAACCATACTTTGCTTGGTATTCTGCATTAGGTCATTTCTGAGCTCAAATAGGATAATAAGGTTTCTGATTTTGTGGAAGACTGGGTTGAGACCCTGTATTTTCCAGTACCCCCATCAGCCAAAAGGAGTGTGTGGTTGTCCTGGCCCTGAATGACCCTGGCAAGGACAGGAGTTGTGTGATCTTACCGTGCTTCTGTTAGAGCTGATGTCGCTGCCCGGGTGAATGATCAGGACACAGCGTGGCAGGGGAAGCTCGCCGGCACCCTGCCTGACGTGTAGGTCCTGAGGGTGTAAGCCCTTAGGCTGAGCTTGGTGGCTGCTCGCAGGGGTTGGGCAGGGTTTCTGGGCAGCGTGCTCTCCACTGGGGACAGTCAGCAGGGGGTTTACTGAAAGGAAATCACACACCGTCCCTGCCCTGGTCAAGGTGGGCAGTTTGGGGACGTGGCTGGGGGGTCTGCATCAGGCCAGGGCCGTTTCTTCTTGATCTTCCTCTGCTCTTTGATGCGCTGTTAGGCTGCATGTTTCTGCCAGTCTCTCTTGGCGTCCAGTGCCGTCAAATTGATTCTGACTCACTGGGACCTTATTGGACAGATTTCTGAGACTGAATCTTGACAAAAGCTGAGTGCGGTGTCTTTCCTGCCTGGGGTGGCTGATGGATTTAAATCACCAGCTTCTCTCTACGCAGCTCAGTGTTTAACCACCGCACCAGCCAGGGCACTTCATCACCTCCGACCCCTGATCTTTGACACCTACCCGCCTTGTGCCTAGCGCTGCCCAGACTCCAGCTCGCCAGGACTTTATCCCCCCACCTCTCCAGGAAATCTGAGAAGTCCCTGGCCAGCCAGTGGGAAGGGTGGTTTTGAATCAGCTGTCCATCACAGACCCAGTCAGCCATGGTCAGGAGAGGCAGGGGGACAAGACAGAGCAATAGAAAGCGAATTCAGGCAGATAGAAACTGTCTGCCGTGTTCCTGATTTCATTTTACCAACCCAGTTGTGACCACATTCATAGCAAACAGAAGAACTGGCACCTTGTCTCTCTCATCCCTACCCATCTTAAAAGTCAGTCAAGAGCCTCCCTGTCCGTGGACCTCTCGGCTGTCCCCCAGCTCTCTTCAATCACTCCCCTAATTGACTAGCACCCTGGTCCAACTGCTAACCCTCCTTTTTACTTCTCCTGGCTTGGCCAAGGATTCAGCATTGAGCCTTTTTCCTCCTGCTCTACCCTCTCCCTGGGTAAGAGCTTCAGCCTGTAACCTGAAATCACCACCTCAGCCTGTAATCCCACATGCTTCTCTCTGGGTACCGTCATCTCCTGAGCCCCGTGTTGACCTTGGCCTCACCAGTGGAACGAGGAATCACATTAGGTGTGATTGAATCGACTACGACTCTGTGAACAGCAGATCTGAGTCAGGCCCTGTGTTGAGCCACCCTCACGTCTCTGACCTTCACGTCTCTGACCCTCACATCTCTGATCTTCACGTCTCTGACCCTCACGTCTCTGGCCCTCACGTCTCACACCCTCACGTCTCTGGCCCTCACGTCTCACGCCCTCACGCCTCTGGCCCTCACATCTCACGCCCTCACGCCTCTGGCCCTCACATCTCATGCCCCTCACATCTCACGCCCCTCCCGTCTCTGGCCCTCCCGTGTCTGGCCCTCCCGTCTCTGGCCCTCACGTCTCACACCCTCACGTCTCTGGCCCTCACGTCTCTGGCCCTCACATCTCACACCCTCACGTCTCTGGCCCTCACGTCTCACGCCCCTCACATCTCACGCCCCTCCCGTCTCTGGCCCTCACGTCTCACGCCCTCACGTCGCTGGCCCTCACATCTCTGACCCACCATCTCTCTTCCTCAGATCTTCCATGTTTCCCAGCTTGATGTCTTTTTTCGGGGACTGGCCCCTCCAGGTAACAGGCCCCAAGTATGTGAGATGAGGACACTCTAGGGCACATGTCCAGCAGGTGACGCTCTCACTCATGGTGGCATTCTCACCTTCCACGCGGGAGACAGTTTGATTCCTGGCACTGGTACACCTGAAGAGGTGCACTTATGGTCTGTTGGTTAAACAGCTTGACAGCAAATGAAAGGTTGGCACTTGAGAAGTACCAGCCGCTCCATATGGGAAAGCTGTGGCGTCTGTTTCCATAAAGAGGTAGAGCCTTGGAAACCCAGGGGGATAGTGTCACTCCCCTCTGGGGTCACCGTGAGTTGGCATTGACTTTGATGACATCTCCGTTGTGTCGGTAGAGGTTTACCTGGTGCTGATAGGTTTCAGCAGAGCTCGGTGATCAGTTTCCAGAAATCAGCCAGTAAAATCCCAATGCAGAGATCACCCCAAGCCATTCCCACCACCCACACTGTTGTTCAGGCCTGAAGCTCGAATTAATTCCCCAAATGTCCCACATCTTTGACAGTTCGAACTCACCACAAACTCCTTGAGAGAAAGATCTGAGTCAGTCTCCTCCCAGGCGATTTACAGCCTCAGGCACCCACTGGGGGATGAGATGTGAATTGGTTCCAACCCAGAAGCAGTCAGGGAGCTCTGGTGGCCTCGTAGTAAGGAGTTGCACCACCAGCCTAAAGGCAGACAGTTCAAATCTCTGCTGGAGAAAGATGGGCAGTCTCCTGCTGTGAGATTTACAGCCTCAGAAACCCACTGGAGGGTCAGCTGGGAGTTGGTTCCGAGAAGTGAGCTTGAGTTTTTTTATTAATTTCTTCATCATGCTCCCCACCAGAATATAAGCCCTTTAGGGATGGAGACTCTGACCATATTCTCCACATTCATACCCTCAGAACACAGCAGGAATGCTTTTCCTGGGTGGGATTACTGGATCGCAGGCTGGGAAAATGCTTTCTGGGTCTTTGATGGCTGATGAAAGCGCTGCCTGCTCTCTACCGCCACCCGGTGGACAGTGGTCCTCAGCGGCTGCCTTGAACTTGACAGCCTTTGTTTAATAGTCAAGGGGTTTTGTTCATTAAATAGACCTTCCGTGCCAGCTTTTCATTTGCATAGAAATCCCTGCTTTAATGGAAAGAACTAGTTTTATGAAGCCAGAATAGTGTCAGGATCTTGGAGAGCGTTGTTAAAATCCAAGGGGACGTTTAGAAAAGCAGCTGGTGTTGTTGGGGACTCCCTGAGCTAGTTACCTTTCCCAGTTCCCTCAGTTCCCTCACCAGCTGCTGTCTAGAAAGTGGGGGGTTCGAGACCACCCAGAGGCACTTCAGAAGAAAGACCTGGTGAGCAAGCCAAACCAGCCATCTGACGTGCATGCCGTTGCTGTGAGTTGGGATGGACTGGAAGGCTTTGAACTGCATCCATCTGATTCATTCCTCAGTCAGTTAGCTGCTGCTAAGCCCTGAGTTACCTGAGAGGTGCCCCACCTGGAGCTCTGCTCGTTACATGTGGGTCGATGCTGAGTGAGACCCCATGTGGGTCAGAGGATACAGGTCAGGGGCTCCAGGCGGGCAACACGGGAGCTGTGGTAGCCGCCCTGGGGCAGGGAAGTGAGTGCTCACCCCTCCAGAGTCTCGGGGGACAAGCTCCAGGTCTGGAACCCACAGACATGAGTTCTAGGCCTCGCCCTGCACCACAGCTGCTGGTGCCTCATGTGATTCTTGTGGTCCCTCTGCCCTGTGATGTGGAGACAGTGGACCCGCCCCTGCACGGAGCCCGGGTTCTAAAGTTAGCGCTCGAGACATTAGTTACAACAGCACTTCGCAGCCCAGGTGCCTTGTCTGTGGTTTTGTGAACATTAACTTCCGGGACCCCAGTGACTAGAATAAAGCATGATGCCCTTGACACACACACCCCTTCCTTGGTGTCCAGTGCTGCTGTAACGGAAATACCAAAAGTGGGGGCTTTGATAAACACCTTTATTTTCTCACAATTTAGGAGGCTGGGAGTTCAGATCCAGGGTTCCTGCTCTAAAGGGCGGCCCGCCAGCTCGGGAGGAAGGTCCTGTTTCCTCTGAGCATCTGCTCTTGGACGATCTTCCTGTCTCAGCCTCTCCAGTCCCTCAGCTCTGCTGCTCACTTGCATGTCTCACGTGACTGACAGCGCACTGACTCTAACGTGGTCACGTTAACAGCACATTCCCACCTGGGAGCATAACCACTGACAGAGGGCCTGACGGACACAGGTCAGTCCATGACACCCCTTGAACAAACTCGAAGGCCGAATCCTCCGTCCCGCCTAAAATCAAGCCTTTGCTGCCCTTGTTAGGTGCCACTGAGTTGACTACAACTCTTAGTGACTCTGAACATCAGATTGAAACCGCCCTTGGTCTGCGCTGTCCTCTAGTCTCCGCCGTGCTCGGGCCCTTCGCTGGGTCAGTCTGTCCCACTGAGCTTGACATCCCGCCTTCAGAGCTTATTTCCCCCACCTGGGATTATAGGTTTAGTTTCCAGCCAGTATGCCTCACGCATGGCCACCAGCCACCTGTCAGCAGAGGCTTGTGTGTGGCCATAATGCGGAACTGGTTTCAGGGGCCCTTCCAGGCTAAGACTAGATCGAAAGGCCTGGCAATCTGCTTCCAGCTGGTGGGAGCCCAGTGGTGTGCATGGCTCACCGTGGGTCAGTGCGACTTGACAACAGGTCGCATCAACATGTGAGCTCCTGCAGCCACTCTGCTGTCCCCTGAGCCCTCACCGAGCGGCCAGACCACGGGCCAAGCTGCTGCTTGGAAGTTAGAAGGAAGCTCTGAACGTGGTGGGGAGGAGCCCTTAAGTGACTCTTGGCTTTAGGGACTTTGAGGGAATGAAGAAGCCGTAAGTGTCCCTGCCCATGAAGTTTCCAGAGTGGGAGGGACGGTCCGGAGCTCCCTCAGGGCAGGGACCTGGGCAGAGCTGTGCACTCGCCCTTAGGGAGGCATTGATTGAGACAGGGAGGGACTGGGGGCAGGGGTAGCCTGAGCCGCACACATCAGCAGCCTGGAATTTTCTAGAAGAGACTGAGCATGGCTGCTTATTAGCTCTAGTCTTCTTAACACTGTCCTCTTGAGAAAGCCCGTTTTTGTTCTTCCTTTTAGAAATTTTGCAGGAATAAGATCACAGGCCGAAGGGTGCCCTCATATCTGTGGTTCTTTGTACGTTACCAGCATATGGCATCAGCAGGGCCAGTGCCCCCTCACCCTTGCTGGCATCCTGATCTTACTCGTGTTCTTAAATGTGTCCTCTTTCTCAGAACTGCCGGAGAGATGTGTTGTAACCTTGTTTCTCCCGGCAGCAGAGAATGAGGCCCCTTCAGGTCTCCCCGAGAGGCATTTGGGTTTGGGGCCCTGGGTGCCTGGCGCATGCCCTCACTGCTGCCCTCTGTAGGTCTGTGTGGGAACTCCAGAGGCCAGTGAGAATGTCCGGCTTTGTTCGTGTGAAGTGGGCGTTGTGAAGCTGGAACAAAAGTGCGTTTGTGTTTTCTGCAGACCCAGGGATGGGCAGCAGCTGGGCTGGGCTGCGACAGGACTGTGGGAGGCACAGCCTGGCCACAAGGAAGCCAGGGTGGCGGGGCCATGCCATGGCCTAAGGACTCAGGATGGTACACTTTGTCAGACCTCTTTCATTTAGTTAATTCTTCTGCCTTCATCACTGGGCACCCTGAAGCCAACTTGCATTCATACGGTCTTGTGTGCAGGAGTCGCCAGTGAGTAATATTAGGGCCCCTCTGCGGGGCCATCAATAGGAACTGCAAGGAGAGGGACTGCCTGCAGGGGGCAGAGAGGAGCAAGGTGCCTCCTGTCCCTCTCCTCTGCCCTTAAAAACCAGGTTTCAAACCAGCTTAGTTATGGCCAGTGAACCAATATCAGAACAGACCTCAGTTTTAAAAATGTGCATAAGCTGCAATATTGATTAGAACAAGGAAGAAAAAAAATTGAAGATTAAAGCCTTCCTAGAAATGTAATCTCTCTCCCTCTTAGAAGAAACAAAAGTGACATGCACGTTGCATAGCAACCAAATCTCTCTGAGTTGCAGACAGCAGTGACTAGCTCAATGATGGTTGCCAACTACACCACTTTGAATAAGCATCGCTCTTTTTTTATCATTAATTTATTATTATAATTATTATTATTAATTTTAATGAAAATTTACAGATATTTTGGATTTGCATTCATTCATTGTTGCACTTTTCTCCCTGCCCATCCCTCCCCTCCAGTTCGCTCTTTTTGAAAAGTAAAAGAAAAATTTTTTCATTGGTATACAATCCCTCCCCCCAAGTCTACTCCACTATACAGCCTTCATTCTGGACTCCTGTCATTTCAATAACACGTAATCATATATCCCTTTTAAGGAGTTCTCTCTCTCATCTGTTTCAATGCAGTATGCATAATTTATCCCCTTTCTCAGTCTTCCCCCAACGCCGATGTCAGTCCTGTTTTAACAACAGTGGCCCGATGCAGTATTTATAAGCGTCACTCTTCACAGTCCTGGAAATCACTGTCACCCATCAGGTTCCTGAAAGGAGTCATGTCACCAACCCTCTTCTGCGTCTCCAGTTCTAAGACTTCAACCCGAAACTTTTCCCATCCCAGTTTTCCTTTGATCATCCAGCTGTTTTAAAAATCCAAGTCCAAGTCGGCTCTGGTTTTACTTCCTGGGGAACAACAAGCCCAGCCTAGACAGCAAAGGGGTGGGTGTCAGGCCTTCCCCCCACTGCCTCCCAAACCCTTTTCTCTTTCCCTGAACTGGTTCTTTTCTCCTTGACCTGCCCTCCTTGTCTTTTTCATGGAAGATGATGCCACCTCTCTGTTTCTCTCTCCTGTCTCGGCTTTCTCCCTGTGCCCTCTCTCCTTCCCTGCTCCCCACCCCGCCCCGGGTGGACCAGACCCAGACGCAGCTGGAGCACGCGCGCATTGGGGAGCTGGAGCAGAGCCTGCTACTGGAGAAGGCGCAGGCCGAGCGGCTCCTCAGGGAGTTAGCGGACAACAGGGTAACGCCGCTGCCCGGCCGCCTCACCCTTGGGTGCCCCCTCTGGCTTCCTGGTTTTATTTACTCCGTCTTTGGCAGCTGTCATCATTGTTTTATTTTTTTCCTTTGCACCCCTGTCTAGCCGGACGTAAAGATCCAGCAGTGTGCTTCTGCTCCATTGTCCAGTGATGCTTGGTGGAGGGGCGGGGTCACGTTTCTCGGACGCTGTGCTTCCTAACCCACCAGCTGGTGGGCTGAGAATGTCCTGTGAGGGTCCCCTTGCCTACCCCCTCCTCATGCATGGCCATAGGCTTGTGATGCTCAGAAATTGGGGGCCTCTTGGGAGGGGCCTGCCCCTCATGTGGGCAGACACGGAGACTGCATGCCTTGCCCGATCAGGAGGCTGGGGTCCAGGTGTCTCTAGCCCAGGGGTCTTGTATGTGGTGGCAGGAGGAGCCAGCCTAAGGACCTGGGCATGGCAGGTGTCGCCTGGAGCAGTAGTTCTGCATCAGCCCACCACCAGGCTCTTGTGATGCCATGGATCCCAGGCCCAGCGGGCCCCTCCCACCACCATGCTATCCTGGCCAGTGCCCTGTGCAGGCCCACCCCCAAACCCAGACAGCTGGCAGCCTGGTGGCACTGCTGACCACATGGCACAGTGGCCAGCGAGCAGGCACTGGGAGACGCTGTTCCTCCTGTGTGGGTGTGGAGGTCGCTGTGGTCACTGGCCTCCCAGTTGGCATGTGCGTGCAGGCCTTGGGGACCCCCGGTCTGTCTACACAGTGGCTGTGTGTGTGCAGAAACTGACCCTGTCACTGTGGATTGGCAGGACCCCCTGACCCCACACACAGACGTCACCTGGGTAAAACAACAAAAACAACCTTACTGATGAAAGGGCCATTCAAGAGCAAGACTTTTTTTAAGCTTTTAAAGGATTTTATGTGATCATAGATGTGGGCTTTGGGGGCCAGGCCTGTGGTACCAGTTTCCTAGCGGGAGATGGGTTGGGGGGATTGTCCTTGAAGCTTGTCCTGCTTCAAGCATCAAGATGGAACCTACTTCCCTTTGCACAGCGCGCACCCCACACACACCCCCAGGCCCCCAGTACCTCCCCAATCAGCCACTTCCGGTTGTGGACCTTTCCAGAGCAGCAAATGCTGTTGGGTTTGCCCTTTAAAAGCATCATTAAGGGGAGCTCTGGTGGCCTAGTGGCAAGGAGCTGCAACTACAACCCCAGAGGCGCACGGTTCGAATCCACCAGATGCTCTGCCGGGAAAAGGAGGGACAGTCTCCTCCTGTACCAGTCAGATCTGATTTGACGGTACACACACACACACACAAAACATCATTAACAGCACAAAGGGGTTTTATTTCAACTGCCAAGCCGTCCCAAGCCACACAGGGCAATGGGGCCAGCCAGGCCCACTCCTGGGGCACAGACCACAATTTTTTCCAGCAGTGGTGCGTGTGGGCAGGTGGCACTCGGGCGAGGCCGGGGACACCCTCCCTTCCCACCGGCCTGCTCCTCCCACAGACACTCCCTCCCCCGTTGGGGGTCTGTGCCCCCAGGCACCCGGCCCTCCCGCTCCGCTGACCCTCACGTCCCTCTTTCCGTAGCTGACCACGGTGGCCGAGAAGTCGCGGGTGCTGCAGCTGGAGGAGGAGCTGAGCCTGCGGCGTGGGGAGATCGAGGAGCTGCAGCAGTGCCTCCTGCACTCGAGCCCCCCACCCGCCGACCACCCCGAGGCGGCCGAGGCCCTGCGCCTGCGCGAGCGCCTGCTGTCGGCCAGCCAGGAGCAGCAGCGCGAGAGCGGGGCGCTGCGCGACAAGTACGAGAAGGCGCTCAAGGCGTACCAGGCGGAGGTGGAGAAGCTGCGCGCCGCCAACGACAGGTACGCGCAGGAGGTGGCGGACCTCAAGGACAAGGTGCAGCAGGCCACCAGCGAGAACATGGGGCTCATGGACAACTGGAAGTCCAAGCTGGACTCGCTGGCCTCCGACCACCAGAAGTCCCTGGAGGACCTCAAGGCCACGCTGAACTCGGGCCCCGGCGCCCAGCAGAAGGAGATCGGGGAGCTGAAGGCGGTGATGGAGGGCGTCAAGATGGAGCACCAGCTGGAGCTGGGCAACCTGCGCGCCAAGCACGACCTGGAGACGGCGGTGCACGTGAAGGAGAAGGAGGGCCTGCGGCAGCGGCTGCAGGAGGCCCAGGACGAGCTGGCCGGGCTCCGGCAGCACTGGCGCACCCAGCTCGAGCTGCAGGCAGGCCAGCACCGGCGCGAGCTGCAGGAGGCCCAGGACCAGCGGCGCGACGCCGAGCTGCGGGTGCACGAGCTGGAGAAGCTGGATGCCGAGTACCGCGGGCAGGCGCAGGCCATCGAGTTCCTCAAGGAGCAGATCGCCCTGGCCGAGAAGAAGATGCGGGACTACGAGGGGCTGCAGCGCTCCGAGGCCCAGAGCCGCCAGGAGGCCGAGAGGCTGCGCGAGAAGCTCCTGGTGGCCGAGAACAGACTGCAGGCCGTGGAGGCCCTGTGCTCGGCCCAGCACGCGCACGTAGGCGGCTGCCTGGCCCCTGCCCGTGGTGGACTCCTGGGGGGTGGGGGGCGGGCAAGGGGGTCCAGGTGGCTGCTGGCCTCAGTACCCTAGTTCTCTTTGCCCCCAGAAGCGTGAGCGCGCTCTCCCAGAGAACTGGTCTCACAGGGAGAACCTGCCCCCCACCATCAGGAGAAAGTTGAGATCAGGGGATCCCCAGTGGTCCGAGCTGACCGGGGTGGGTCCCCCCAGAGCAAACCTGGAGATGCTGGCTTCTTCTAAGTCCCCAGCAGTACCTCCATTCACCCAGATCTGTCACCGGTCTTCCTCCTAGTACCCCAGCACTGACCCAAGAGATATGAGACTGGCCCCTCGGCCACTCCCGGGAAGACTTAGCTGCGTCAGAAGGCTAGTTTCCGGAGTTTTAGGGTATCCGGAGTTGAGGTCTGGAAGGCTGGAGGGGATGGCTCTAAGTGCCACTGGCCCTTTAACACGAATAGCCATGGAAGCTGGGCTGTAACTGTCCCTACCCAGTGAGGTCAGGAGGGGTGCGCTGAGGGCCTCTGGGTACCATGACCTACGCCAGGCCCTGCACTGGACATGCGTGAACAAACGTTAGCTCCCTCTCAAAGCCAAGGCTTCTAGGGAAATAAATGCAGTGTGATTATTGCCTTTATGGCAGGACCCCAGGTTTCTCACACTGCCAGCTCCCTGCCCCTTGAGGCCAGAATGTTGCATTGCAGTCAGTTGAATACTTTCAGGAGTTCCAGGTTCAAGGTACTCTTTTGCAGTTGTCTATTTCAGGCTCCAGCGTCCCCTGCTACGTCCTTCTATTCCTTCTCCCAGGGAGGCACAATTTTAGCAACAGCCAGGCTGGCAGACAGGGGAAGAACTGAGCTTGGCTCTGTCCACATGAGCCTGTGGCAGGGCGGGAGACAGGCGGAGCTGGGCCAGGGGCCTGGGTCTGGGTGCCTGAGGGAGTAAGGTGCTGTCATGCTTCTGTAGCTCACGAGGCCTGGGGACCTGGAGTCCCAGGCACTCCGGAGCTGAGGAACAGAAAGCACATCTCGATTATCCACACACACTGGTGCTGAGCCGTGTGCTTCCCAAGCTCTGAGGTTTAAGACTAGGTCTCCAAAGTGCTGAAGAGCAATGGTGTCTCTCTGGAGACTAAGGTGCGTCTGATACAGGCCATGGTTTTTGCAATCACTTGTTACGCATCAGAGAGTTGGACAATGACTAAGGAGGATAGAAGGAGAACTGATGCCTTTGAGCTGTGGTGCTGGAGAAGAGTATTGAGAATACCATGGACTGCTAGGAAAACAAACAGATTTGTCCTGGAAAGGGTTAAACCGGATGGCTCCTTGGAGGCAAGGATTCTGAGGCTCCGTCTAACTTTGGACATGTTGTGAGGAGAGACCAGTCCTTAGAGAGGGACATCATGCTTGGGAGGGTGGAGGGACAGCGCAGGAGAGGAAGGCCCTCTATGAGGTGGATTGATTCAGTGACTGGGATAATTGGGATGGGAGTGTCAGAGACAGTGCGATTGGCACAGGACAGAGTGGAGTTTAGGACTGTTGTACATAGGGTCGCTATGAGTCGCAGGCGACTCGACGACACATAACAACAACAGTGAATTGTAGAGCTCTGGTAGCCCAGTGGTAAGAAGCTGTGCTGCACACCTGAAGGCATGTGGTTCAAATCCATGACCTGCTCTACAGGAGAAAGATGGACAGTGTCTTGTGCTATTTATGACCTCCAGAAACCTGCTAGAGTCAGCTGTGGATCGGTTCCACCGTAAGGGCACACGATAGTGGTTAAGTACAGGAATATTTGTGTGTGTGTGTGTGTTTAAGGACGTATTACATTTAGAGTCTCAAAGCCTGCATACTACATGTTGCACTGCTAGCTTGGAGGCTAGGGGTTCCAATCTTCCAGCTGTTGCGTAAAAGACTGGGAAGGCATCCATCCTCCTGCTATACAGATTTACAGCCTCAGAGACCCGACGGTGGCTTAGCATGAGTGGAATTAACTCGAAAGGCAGTGGCTAGCTCAGAGCCACATCTTCACTGGGCTGTGCGTAGAGTCTAGGGAGTTTATTGAGAGCTGGAGATGGCGTGGATAGAAGCGTAAGGCCTGAGATTGTGGAGGTGACGGCCTCCTTGGCTGTGTGGCTTCAGCCCACAGCGTTAGACGCTGGCAGAGTCTGCAGCTCAGAGCAGCCAGCAGGTGGCCAGAGCCTTCCCCCAAGAACCAGTGGGAAGCACATCACCTGTCCTTTGGCTTTTCTTGTGGTATTTGCTGTGCAGGTGGTTTGGTTTTTTTTTTTTTTAATCCATCATTTCTCTTTTTTGGTTTCTGAGTTTATCATTGAAAAGAAATATTGGAGGAAAGGGAGCTAGCATTGCCCCACACAGGGATGGGACGCTGAGAACAGGCGTGTCCAGGCTGAGAGGTGGTATTTCCCAGGACAGACCTCTGCGAGAGCCTGGGGCGAGATCAGTGTTTGACTGGATGCACTTTCTCCATGAAAGGGATAGGAGGTGTTCGTGCAGAAGCTGCACAAGGGGGCCGGAGGGAAGTGGGGAGCAGAAGCGGGCAGACCCGCTTTTGTGGGGAGTACACTGTAGGTGTGCTCGCTGGGCTGGCTGAAGCCCCTCTCAGCACTGGGGCAGGGGGAGGCGAGCGTGCCCCTCACACGGCCTCTTCTTCCAGATGATTGAGTCCAGCGACATTTCCGAGGAGACGATCCGAATGAAGGAGACGGTGGAGGGTGAGTTGGCACCGGGCAGGGCAGCCCACCGCCTTCAGGGGAGGCTGGTGTTTCTCCCTGTAGTGGGGGAGGTTCTTACTAACAGCTCCCTATTGTTGCGTGCCAGCCTGGTACCTTTGTTGTCGTAAACTGACTCAGCTAACCCACCAGTGGGTTTCAGAGGCTGTAAACTGCATGGAGATTGCCCGTCCTTTTCCTTCAGAGCAACTGGTGGATTTGAACCATCTACCTTTGGGTTGGCAGCACAATTCTTTACCACTAAGCCACCAGAGATCCCTTTGTACCTAGTACACTGTTACTGAGTTTTACCCTATTTTTTTAAAGATTATTATTGTTATGATCAATCAAGCTGGAACTGACTCTTAGCTGGTTTTCAGAGACTATAACTTACTTCTATTTTCTACTTGGGTATTTTTCTCATTTTTTTCCTTAGCTAGGCTTTAAATATTTTTGTTGATTTTTAGAAGCTCTATGTCTATGACATTGCTAATATTTCCACTTACTGGTGATTTCTATTTTTCTTTTTCTTAAAGTGGGATTTATCATGCAAATATTTTTTAACCTTTCTCCATTTTTTTAAAGCTTCTGATTATTTTTTTTTTAGTGGTCTCGTGGCTGCCCCACGCTTCTCTTTATCTATTATTTTTAAAGTAACTTGTTCTAGTAATTTTGATGTTTCCTTTTCTATACTTAAATCCCTGGTCTATCTGCTTTTACAAGAAAAGGATCTATTTTCATTTTTCCCCCAAACAAGTGCCCACTATCCCAGTTTCATCCTTTAAGCTCTCATACACTTCCTCTTCCACACACATCTTAATTATCTAGTGCTGCTCTAACAGAGATGGATATCATAAGGAGGTGACTTCAACAAACGTACTGCTTCTCTTAAGGTTAGGAGGCCAGAAGTCCAAGTTCAGGATTGCAGCCCTAGGGTAAAGCCACCTCTCCCTCACTCTCTCTCTGTCTCTCTCTCTTATTGGTTCTGTATTTCATTTAGAAAAAATGAAGGGAACCCCAGTGCTTAGTCCGTAATGTGTTGCACTGCCAACTAAAAGGCTTTGGCTTTTTGGTGGTTCACATCCACCAACAGAAAGATGAGCAGTCTCCTCCCGTTAAGATTTACAGCCTGGAAACCCGGTGAGGGGCTGGGGGTCGCTAAGAGTCAGAATAGACCCAGCCGGAAGTGAGACTGTGCTTTCGGGTGGGTTTGCATCTCAGCATTTCTGCGCGTCCCCATTTTGCTGTCTGTCAGGAGCTGCACAGAGCTCTCTGATGGCCTGGTGAGGGAAGAGTCATGAGGACAGGCAGTTTGAGTCCAACACCTATTCCTGGGGAGAAAGATGGGCAGTCTCCTCCTGTGTGATGTGAAACCTCTGCAGATCCCTAGAGGGTCTGTGCTGGCTCCACATCACACAACAGCAGCATCGAGGAGGCCACAGGGTTCTGAAAACACATCATCAGGTGGCCTGGTTGGTATTAATACTGTTGGTATTATTCCACTTTTCTCACGAGAACACTAGGGTTCAAAGAGTTCAGTTGTTCAAGACCACCCAGGACTGCACTGGCCTCATCAGGGTGGGCCACCCCAGCAGAACACTGGGGTGAAGGGGAAACCAGATCCTTAGAGCCCAGTGTGGTCCTTTGTGCCTCACCCACTGGGGTAGGGTTGACATGGAGCGTTGATGGCTCTGTCTCTTCTCCTTTCAGGCCTGCAGGACAAGCTGAACAAGAGGGACAAAGAAGTGACAGCCTTGACGTCCCAGACCGAGATGCTCAGGGCCCAAGTAAGTGGTAAGTCTCCCTCCCAAAGGGGAGATGCAGGGGGTTCTGGGGGCCGAGCCAGGTGACACGTGTCAGCAGGACATGGAGTGTGAGCCCCTCTCATGCTCCCTGGGGTCCATCTGGGTGTCAGGGAGTGGAGGAGGTGTGAAGCCACCCATGGCACCCCCAGGGCCCCCCACCGTGTGGGTTCCCTGAGCCAGCTCTGGGATCGGGAACCACAGGTTTCCCATCAGCCACCTTGATAACAGTTGATCAGAGAAGCACCAGGGTTTCAGGGCCAGCACAAAGCCAGGCCAGGGAAGTGAGCACAGAGGGGTGACCTGGGAAGGCTGAGATTGGGGTGAGCTGGAACAGCTTCTTGTCCACCAGAATGTGAGTGAGTGATGAGCCCCCCATCCTGAGAGGTTTTCACTCACATCCACCCAGTCACCATCACATTCACATGGTCCTGACAAAGGTGAGTCCACCTTGGGCCCTTCCAAGGCCAAGGTGAAGACTTAGCCTCAAGTCTCCACCTCTCAGTCTCAGCAAGCAAACTGCTCTCCACTTTAAAGGGTCCAAGCTCTTGTGTTTGTCGCTGGTCTCTCAGCCCCTTTGTGCCTGGTTCTTAAGGACAAGAGAAATCAAGGGGTTTTTTTAAGTGCTCAGTGAGGTGTGTCCCTGTCAGTCCTGGGAAGTCCTGCTTCTGGGGCCCGGCTTGCCCTCGGGTGGAGCAGATTCCCACACGCTCCCTCTCCTCCCGCGGCTGACCCACAGCGCTCGAGAGCAAGTGCAAGTCTGGGGAGAAGAAGGTGGACAACCTCCTGAAGGAGAAGCGGCGTCTGGAGGCCGAGCTGGAGGCAGTGACCCGGAAGACCCACGACGCCTCGGGCCAGCTGGTGCTCATCAGCCAGGAGCTGCTCCGGAAGGAGCGGTGAGCATGTGGGCTGGGTGGTGAATAGGTGTGGGGTGAGCGGGTGTGGGCTGTGGGGCACAGGCTGAACAGATGTGGACTATACAGTGAGCAGGTGTGGGCTGAGGAGTGAGCAGACATTGGCTGTGCAGTGTGTGGGCACAGGCTGTGTGGGCTGTGTGGTGAGCAGTTGTGGACTGTGCAGTGAGTAGGTGTGGGCTGTGGTGAGCAGGTATAGGCTGGGTGGTGAATAGGTGTGGGGTGAGCGGGTATGGGCCGTGCAGTGAGTGGGTGTGGGCCGTGCAGTGAGCAGATCTGGGCCATGCAGTAAGCGGCTGTGGGCCGTGCAGCGAGTGGGTGTGGGCCGTGCAGCGAGCAGGTGTGGGCCGTGCAGTGAGCGGTGTGGGTTTGCAGGTGTGGGCTGTGCACTGAGGCTGTGCAGTGAGCGGGTGTGTGTTTGCAGGTGTGGGCTGTGCACTGAGGCTGTGCAGTGAGCTGGTGTGGGCCGTGCAGTGAGCAGGTGTGGGCCATGCAGTGAGCGGGTGTGGGCCGTGCAGTGAGCGGGTGTGGGTTTGCAGGTGTGGGCTGTGCAGTGAGCAAGTGTGGGCTAAGCAGGTGTGTGCTTTCTGAAATCCCTTCTCATCTTTTTACTGAGTCCAGTCCATTCAACAGGCTTAACTCCCCATCCTTGAAGACTCACGCTCCTGTGGTGTTTAGGATGAGGGTGCTGGGAGATTGGTAGGAATAAGTTTAATATGTAATGCAATATGGTAGGATTGTTTAATATTTAATATCTAATGTAATATCCAAACAGTCCTGGTGGCGCAAATGGTTAAGCATTAGACAACCAACCGAAAGATTTGACTGTTTGAAGCCACCCACGAGGTCCACGGGTAACAGACCTGGCAGTCTGCTTCTGCAGAGATTGTGACCAAGAAAATCCTCTAGGATCGTTCTCCTCTGGCACGTGGTGTCGTGCGCTGTCGAGTCATAACTGACACAAAACTGACCCTCCCCATTGGTTTCCAGAGGCCGTAAATTCCACAGGAGGAGATTGCCCGCCCTTCTCCCATGGAGCAGCTGGTAGATTCAAACCACACACCTTTGGGTTGTCAGTGCAGCTCCTTACTGCTAGGCCACCAGAGCATCCCATCCCGGCACATAAGAATACTTAAGGACACCCAGTGACAACTGACTGGAAAAGATCGTAATTATTCTCATTCCCGAAAAGGGTGATCCAACAGAGTGTGGAAATGATCAAACAGTACCACTGATAGTACATGCAAGCAAAATTTTGCCAAAGATTATCCAAAAACAACTAGAACAGAATATTGACAGAGAACTGCCAGAAATGCGAGCTGGGTTTAGAAGTGGCACTAGGGATAACATTGCTGATGTCAGATGGATCTTGGCATTAGATGCTTGAAATACTCTGCCACCTTAGATTACTTGGATGAGTAATTGTATTTCAATTAGACAAACACTGCATTCTCTTAAAACAACAAAGCACCCGTTCTAGGAAAGGCAAAGGCCACTTGACCATCCCACTCCCGAATCCCGGCCCCTTTGGGCTGTGGTTGAGTCATTCCATGTGTCAGCTTCTCAGTCTGGTCCACTCTGAAGGTCAGTGTCCCCTGCAGGGTGGTGATCTCTAGGCACTCAGCACATTTCCATCTTGAGGGAGCTGGGGGTACTGGACTGACTGAGGTGCCTCTGTCCCCCACCCTCCTCCCCGCTCCAGGAGCTTGAATGAGCTGCGCGTGCTGCTGCTGGAGGCCAACCGCCACTCGCCGGGGCCCGAGCGGGACCTGAGCCGAGAGGTGCACAAGGCTGAGTGGCGCATCAAGGAGCAGAAGCTCAAGGATGACATCCGAGGCCTGAGGGAGAAGCTGACCGGGCTGGTGAGTGGGGCAGGGGCTGCCCTGCCGTCAGACTGTGGGGGCTGGTTGGCTTTTTGGAGCCACCCAGGGGCAACAAGGCCATAGGCAGAACTAAAAGTCCTCGTGAACCACAGGCAGCGGACGCCTGGTGGTGTGATGTTAAGGTCTTTAGGTGCTAACTGGGGGTGGAGGAGAGTCTGCTGCCCTGCACTTCTTCCAGGACAGATGCATTTGTCAGGAGGACTTGGGAAGGGCCTGGTGGGACAGGCTGGTACATCCCATGTGGAAAGCTGGGACCTAGAAATCTGCAGGGCGGGAAGCTGGGCCCAGGGACAGGCTTGGACAGGGGCAAGAGTGGAGCTAAAGGACCCATGTGCTGTCACGTCCCCAGGCGCAGTGAGGGCTGTTGGTTTGCCTTCATGGACAGTGCAAAGTTCATGAATGTTGTTCAGGGGAGGAGGGAGGACGGGTCACTCTCAGGACCAGAGCCCGGAGGGGCCTCCCCGGCACGTACACTCTCTCGATTCCCAGGACAAGGAGAAGTCCCTGTCGGAACAGAGGCGCTACTCCCTCATTGACCCATCCTCGGCCCCCGAGCTCCTGCGGCTGCAGCACCAGCTGATGAGCACGGAGGACGCACTGCGGGACGCGCTGGACCAGGCCCAGCAGGTGGAGAAGCTCATGGAGGCCATGAGGAGCTGCCCCGACAAGTCCCAGGTGAGCTGAGGCCAAGGCTGGGCTGACCGAGGGGATCTCTGAGGACAGGAAGCCCTCTGAGGGCAGGTGTCCTATCTAGGACCCTTGTCTGAAGGGAGGCTGTCCTGTCCAGGGAGCCCCATCTGAGGGGAGGCTGTCCTGTCCAGGGACCCCCATCTGAGGGGAGGCTGCCCTGTCTAGGGACCCCCATCTGAGGGGAGGCTGTCCTGTCCAGGGACCCCCATCTGAGGGGAGGCTGCCCTGTCTAGGGACCCCCATCTGAGGGGAGGCTGTCCTGTCCAGGGACCCCCATCTGAGGGGAAGTGGCCCTAAATCGGGAAGTAGCTGTTGTGGGAGCCCTGGCTAAGTGGAGGCTGGCTGATCTGAGGGAGACCATCTCGTCTGAGAGGAAGTCCCTCATCCCGGGATCCCTATTAAAGGGGAGGTGGCCTTGCCCTGGGATCCCCATCTGAGGGGAGATACGAGCCCTGCCCTCTGGGAATGCCAGGCCAAGGGGACCCTGTGTAGCTTTATCCTGAGGAAGGAACATTAAACCGGGGGAAGTTGCAGCCTGGCCCCGCTTCAGGGTGTGGAGTCTAAGATGGTCATCAGATGTTTCCACTTGGGTGAGCCAGAGGTGCGGCCTGGTGACTCACTCCACCTGTCCCCTAACTGACTCTTCCAGGCCCTGAGCACTTCCGGGTCTGCAAATGGCATCCACCAGCAAGACAAGGCCCACAAACAAGAGGTGAGGGGCACCTTGGAACCCCAGGCCCTCCCACATGGGCAGACTCTGAAGGAAAAACCCTCAAAAGTCACCTAAGATACAAAGGGATGAAGATGTGTGGGAAGGTCCCTAAGGGGGGGACTGTCCTACTCATGCGGTCAAGCTTGGATAAGTTCCTATTTTCAAAAACTTACTTAACTTATAACGTATTACAGCTTGTCTGAAAACTTAGGGTGGGAGGGAACACACTAAAAATGTATGAAGAAAAGATTCATCCAGAGATGTCCCAGGCTAATGTTTTAACGTTTAAAGGGATAATGTCCTTCCTTCTTGGGGCGTGTGTGTGTGTGAGAGAGAGAGAGAGAGGAAACTGAAATTTAACACCCCGTGCCACCAAGGCTCCTCACATATTTATTTAAGATCTCCAACACATTTGCAAGGATAAAAGTAATATGTAAAATGTCATATACCCATTATCCCTTAACATGTGTTAACAGTTTGGCCCAATTGCTGTTTCGGCTCTCTCTCTGAAATAATTTTACTCTATATCAGAAAGCTCCAACTTTCCTTCATAAGCAGCTCCTTCCCTACCACTTGCAAGGACACTTTCCTGCCTCAGGGCCTTTGCACGTGCTGTGTGTGATGCCTGACAAGTTTTCCTGCTCTCCCTATCTCCCTCTGAGCTCCCCAGGGACCTTGCTGATAAGTCCTTGATCTCTTCTAGGAAAAGCACTGACCCCTGAGGGACCTCGTGGAGCAGCCTGGTCTACACTAGAGACCTCCCGCTTACCCTGGTGGCACCCCCTCCAGGCAGGGACCAGGATTGCCACTTTGGAGACAAGAACAGTGTTTGGAACTATAATGTACTCACCGCTGTGGACAATCCCCATCCCAGAACCCCCTGCCGGACCAGGAGGCTTCCTCAAGCACAGCCTTCCAGGGAGTGTGGCCCAGCCCCGGCGCGGCCTGCAACCACAGCTGGACACATGGACACCCAGTCGTTTCCAGAATTTGTTTGGAGGGCAGAAGCCAGCCAGCCAGGCCCTGCCCCCTCGACCCTCCCGTCCACCCACAGGCAGCCCTAGGACCGACGGGGCGCCCTGGGTGTGTCTCCACCCTCCCTCTCTTCCTCCACCCCACGTCCCCATGCTGCCATTGTCCCCAGAAGGGGCCGGGAGGCCCAGCTTCTCCTTGCAGGCACTGGGGAGGTGAGTGAAGTTTTCTGAAGCCATTTCCAGCTCGATGTGCCTGGACACTGAGCCCCCTTCAAATGCGGTACTAGCTCCCCTCACCCACTTGCCTGCTGGGGGTCCCAGGTTCACAGTGCAGGTGAGAAGACCCCTCCACCCCTCAGACACAGATGACCCATCACCAGCTGCTGCCCAGAGGCTCGCCCGAGGCCAGGAGCCGCAGTATTAGAACTGTGTGGACGCCTGCTGCCCGTCGCCCCACCAGCGACCTGGGCCAGCCCTGGCGCGGAGCTGGGCAGGGGCAGCCACACGGGAGTCCAGAGCTGTGAGGACTGGGCAGTCATAGCAGGTCCCCGGGATTGACTGTTTTGAAACGGGGCCACCTCTCCTGCAGACCCAGAGGGTCCCTGCTGGTGCACGTGGGTGCACGGTGGGCCTGAGTATCGGCGTCCAGCTTCCTGCACAGATCTGAGGGGCTGTGCTGTGCCTGCCGCGTGAGGCTCAGCATGCACCTGTACCAGCAGCCCCCTCCTCACCTGCCTCTTGTAACTAACTAGGAAAAGTCCCCAAGGGGTACTCGGAACAAGGAAGATCTTACTGCCCCTCCTCTGTCCCTTTCATGCCCTGCTGTGCTGCTCGGGCCATGGCGCGGTGGGAACAGAGAGCCGGGGCCTGCGGGCGGGCCGCCGCCCCCCTCCACCTCCCTCAGCTCAGGAAGATTTTCTACCTGGGCCCGCCCCCTCCCAGGGCCATTCCCATAGTGCACCAGGACAGGATGCAGATGCCACCCTAAGAGCAGTCCAGGGGCCTCTGAGCAGTGCAGGCCGGCCATGCCCACCTTTTTGCCCTAATGCGGCCCGCCCTGGGCAGCGAGCAGCCCCTCCGGCCTCCCTGCTGGCTTTTGGTAGCTGGCGCATGAGTCCTTAACAACAGTAGAGAAGCGATGCTTTAGCGGCCTAACCCAGACCGGGTCCTGCTTTCCCGCAGCCAGGGAGGCACAGCCTTTACTCACTAACAGCAAGGCCCACCCGCCGTGCCGGCCCAGCTGCAGCCCCAGGGGCCGTGTGTGCCCCAACCCCCGTCCCCATTCTCCCCACACCCTTCCTTCCCCTCCCCAAAGTGGAATTGTTGAAGTGTGGCGAGTCCGTGCTCGGGACAATAAAGCTTGTGACTGCAGTCCGGGACCTGTTGTCACTGTCTGCCTCCCTCTGCGGGCACCGCAGGCTCTGGTGCCAGGAGCTGGTTCACATAGGCCACCCAGAGGCTGCCGACTAATTCTTACTCAGGTGTGAATGGTTGATTTTCAGCTCCTCAGCCTGGAGTTGAAGCTGTCCTGAGGCTCAGCTGGTTTTTTTTTGTTTGTTTTGTTTTTTATTATTTTCTCTGTGCGTGTACCGTCAAATTGGATCTGACTGGTACAGGAGGAAATGGCCCTCCTTCTCCGGTAAAGCATTTGGTGGATTCGAACCACATACTCTGGGATTGCAGTGCAGCTTCTTGCCACTAGGCCACCAGAGCTCCCTCAGCTGTTTTCTTAAAGCAGATAAACTCCAGCAGGAGCAGGCTGGCTGAGAAGGGCCGGAAGAGCCTGGCCTGGCAACCTCTTTGAAATTGCATCTGTTCAAGGTGTATGTTCAAGCTGCCTGCAAGGGGGGAAAACCAACTAAAAGTCAAGGTTTTCTGGCAAAATTAGAAACCTTAGTGTACAAAACAGTAAGCAGTAAGCACAAGTTTGATGGTTTTGTTTGTTTACATTGTAAGGAAGCAAATTCTGTGTTTCACACCACGCTGTGGGTGAAGCTGCACACTTGGTGAGTTTTATGGTCTTTACCGGTGGTGGTTCAGTCCACAGCTGTGTTACCAGGCCCACTGCCCACTTCCCAGGCCCTCCATTTTCTCTTTTGGGGGCTGGTGGGGCAGTGAGACCCTCAGTTTATATGGTTATAAAAATAGAAATAATAAACCCTTTTGTCCATGTCACACAGCTTTATCAAACCTTAGTATTTTACCACATTTGCTAGATACCTTTTTTCAAATTGTAAATTTCCAATATGACTGAACAACTCTAGGGATTCCTCTCTCATTCTACTCAACTTTTGACTCTGGTTTTGTGTAGACCATCCTCAAATATGAGACAGTATCAGAACCGCACATCCCAACAGGGCCGAGGGGTTTTAGTTGTAAGAAACACGTGCGCTCTGGGTAATTTTAGCATCACCACTCCCTTTCCCTAGAAGATGAATTTATTAAAAAGCTCGGAAAATCTTTGGAAGAGGAAGGACTTAGGCTTGCAGGCCGTACTGCCAAATCCTGCTATAACTTGTTCAAGAGAACATAGAAGCCAGTAATGCTGGGCCGATTAACGTCTCACGCTGCTGCCGTACTTATCCACAGCTGCTCTCACAGACACCACGTGAGAATGGCTTTCGCAAACAGAAATTTATCCCCTTACAGGTTGCTGTGTACCATCGGGTCAGAACCAACCCATAGCTGACCCTCCAGTGGGTTTTCAGAGGGAGTAAGTAGGTCACACAGAAGGAGACTGTTCATGTTTCCCCAAACTGGTGGATTCAAACCACGTGTCTTTGGGTTGGCAGCGCAGCTCCTTACCACTAGGCCACTAGAGCTCCTGTCCTAAAGGTTAGGAAGCTGGAAGTGCAATGTTAGGGGGCCAGCTCTAAGAGAAGGCCTCTTGTCTCTTTGGGCATCTATAGACGCAGGGTTCCGTGAAATCCCCATATGCCGCCCTCCTAGTGCCAGGGAGCTTCCTGTCTTGGGCCTGGGTCCACAAGGCCGTGCTCCACTCCTGGCGATCACCTGCTGGTGTGGAAGTCTCAGCTCACTCTCCTCCCTTATCTTACAGGACACACACTCTGTGGGGGAACTTCTTTTATTATGGTGGAGTCAAGGAGCGCTGCAGTCCACATTTCATCTCTTTACAACTCTTTGGTTTGTCAGGTCTTGGGGAATCTTTATATAGCATAGACCATAGAGTTTATACACCATATTATGTCATTGCATTGGTGTAATCTGGGGGACATGTTTAAACTCATGACAACTGTCAACTCTGGTGACCCGGCATCCTGTTTGCGGAATCACAGGCCCTGGAGCTTCTGGGAGCAGTTGAAACTATAGTTCTGCCCACTGTGCCCCTCACCCAAGGTGCTTCTGAGTGGATGGGGCCAGCTTGTGTGCCTGGACCCCAGCTGCAGGAGACGAGAAGTAGGAGTGTCATTCCTGGCTTCTGTAGTAGAAGCGGGTTCTGTGTCAGCAGGAAAAGGGTGCCTTTAAGCAGGAAGAGGCATTTCAGCGCTGCAAGGTCATGACAGCCATTGTCAACCACAATTTCTGTGTTCGCTTGTTGGTGGTCCTCTGTTAGGTTTTCAGTTTGTTTCCTGTTGCATCTCCCACAATAATTGTGTGTGAGTGTGTGTGTGTGAGAGAGAGAGAGAGCTGAGTCAAGTTTTGCAGAACAATTGGATTTTCATTCAACTACTCATACATTCTTTTTATCACATTCATTCCAATACCAATTCCAATACAGCATGATCATGTTTTGCCCCCCAGTCCAATTATCTGATCCCGTCCCTTCCTTCCATCTGAGCTTCTTCCTCTGTAAATGCTGCCCTTTGACCTTATAAGCTTGGTTATTTAAGGAATGTTACTGGGCACCATTTAGGCCTGTCCTTGGGCAGAAAGTTGAGTCAGTGGTGTCAGTTTTATTCCAGGTTTGTAGAATGTGTAATGACACTGTAGCACATTAACATTCCCAAGAGTAAATAGTGCCTCTGCTTATAACATATTTACAACATTTTACTGTGTATTCCCAAACTGTTGAGCAAATAATCCATTTTGCCAATCGTATGTTTTATTAATATTTTAAGGCATATGCCTAACGACACTGAAATTTCTAGCAATATGGCTGATGAGATTTTTTCTTCCAAACTCCTCTTAACATAAATGTTCCAGATGACGTCTCATACACGCACTCGTCGACAGCAAGCTGAGTACAGAGGAAAGTACTGGAAACCTCTGAGAGTCACAAAGAAGCAGGATCTAGTGCCTAGAGTGAGAAGTTGGTGCCAAGTGAGAATGTCCCGGGGCATTTGCCAAAATCAGGAACTGAAATATTTGGAGTTTAAGAGCCACAGAAGCCGGGGAGATGGCTGGGGAAGGTGGAGAATCGGAAGCCAGATGACTGTCACAAACGGGCCTTACACTTGTTACGAAACAAAACGTGAATAATTGATTGCAAATCAATAGGCTTTGTAAACTTTCATTCAAATCATAATTAAATGAACACACTACAATTAAAATATAAAAGTGTTAAGCTTTTGATCTATGGCCGTGAGCTGCACTGGATCTAAAGTGAAATAATTTTTACAACTGAGATGTGCAAGGCAATACAAAACCATTAAACACCTCCCTGAAAAGGTGGGAAAGACAAGATTGACAGGTGACCATTTTCTTAAGAAAAATTCAGAATGACAGGACTGTGGCAGCCTGGAAAATAGGGACGAGAAAACCCATCCCCTGGCAGAGGGTTGACAAGGAAACTCAACTGCCATGGTTGAGGCTTGGGGTGGGCAAAGTTACCGATTTTGTGCCCACCAAACTGCAGGAGTGAGCGCCGGTGGCCTAGCTGTAAAGAGTTGTGCTCACAGCTCAAAGGGGGTGGGGGTGGGGGTTATGTGCTGTCAGGTCGCCTGTGACTCACAGCGACTCTTATGTACAATGTACAACAGCTCTGAACCCTGCTCTATCCTGAGCACCTCTGACACACCTACCCTCATTACCCCAGTTACTGTGTCAATCCATCTCATCCAGGGTCTTCCTCTCCACCTCCAAATAACTGGACTAGTGCCTGGCACAGCTTTCAATAAACGCGTGCTGGTAAATGTTGTTAGGTACTATCGAATCAGTTACCACTCCAGAGTAATCGTATGAACAAGAGGTTGGAACCGAGCCCTATCCCGAACCATCCTCTCTCCACCACACTCAAGTTCATGGTTACAATCACTGGGTCAGTCCACCTTGTTGAGAGTCTTCGTCTTTCTCCGACCCTCCCCGTTCCCCAGCACTATGTCCTTTGCCTGGGACTGACCCTTCTCCCAACATTCCCAAAGCACGTGCACATCCCTGCCTCTAAGGAATACTGACTGCAGTTCCTCCCAGAGACTTGTTTGTGTTCTTGGCAGTCCACGGGATATTCAGCATTCTACTCCAACACCACAACTCAAAGGTGTCAAGTCTTCTGTCATCCTTATTTGTTATCCAGCTTTCCAATGCATAGGAAGCAACTGCAAAGAACATGGCTTGAATTAAACTG